TTGAAATATTACAAAAACTATTAGTTTTAGGTATATAATATTATATATAAAAAAGTTATGGAATTTTGCGCAGAATCTATAAATAAAATAAAAAATAGGGTGTTGCATTTAAAAAAACATATGTTATAGCCGCCACACTTTTTTGAAGCACCTTGTATACTTTATAATAGTTTTAATATGTGTATCTTAACCATCCCTATAACTTTTATATTAAACATTTTTTTGTAAACCTTGAAACAAATGAGATAATGGACTTTACTCTATCGTTGACTCACCCTGTACCACCAAACATATGGTATTACGAGCAGATGCAATTTATTCTTGAACACAGTATTCCACGCCAATCTGTAGATAGCATTATGTCACCGCAAACATCTTCCAACATAACTGGGTCTTGTGAGAACTCTTGTGAAGATTTACTATTATACTCTCAATCTGAAGACAATGTCGATAATACTGAAATTGGTACACTAAATGAAGAGGTACTGTATTTACATTATTTTTATGCATTTAATACTAAATATTGTGCTCACATAGGAATTGCAATTGATCACTGAGGAAACAGATTTTCAACAGACGCAGTCTACCCAAAAATATAATATTATTAAAGTTGAAAACATTCCTCCAGTAGTTGATTATCAGCGTATACAGCCAACACTCACAGCAGTTATTCCAAGGTAGCCCCGGTTAAAAGTCTAACCCCAAATGTAGTTACGAACGTTAAGTAAAAAAGGAAAAGAAGTGACATCAATGAAGATGATGCCATGAAAAATGCCAATAAAATCTTGAACGAAATAACTACAGCTATTACCTCACCTTTAACTAACACCCAACAGGAAAAATCTAAAATCCGCTCAGAGAGTGAAATTTTTGGTAAATATGTTACTAAGCAATTAACAGCAATAGAGGAGGACGACGAACTCTTTTTAGATACTGCTCATAATTATTAACAATGTGTTGCATAATGCTAGGAAAAAAATATTGCAAAAAAAACATGTAATAAAAATCTCATTTTGATATTTTCAGAAATAAAAAAATGTATTAAATAAGTCTACATATTATGTCTTCGAACCATATCATCTTACCATTCCACACTCTCTGAACTATTAAAATAATTTTTAAATTCCTCCCATATCAATTGTGCAAACCCTACACTTCTGTTACTTCCTTGTTGTAGAAGCTTTTCTAATAAATTTGCTATAATTTCATCTTGAGATTGTGTAATTTCTCCAATTTTCTGTAGCCAGATAATTATGAAGAGCAATACATGCTAAAGTAATAATTTTAACTTTTCTGTGTTTAAATTAATAGGGTTTAAAAGAATTCTGAACCTATTTGCTAAAATTCCAAATGCACTCTCGATAATTCGACGAGCTCTGGAAAGCCTGTAGTTGAAAACTTTTTGTTCATATGTTAACCCACGACATGGAAAAGGCTTCATTATTCTTGCAGAAAGGGGGAAAGCATCGTCTGCCACAATCACATACGGAACTTCCAACATTCGTCCAGGCAGTGGTCTATTTTGTAAGTAAGTAAGAGTAAATTCCCTGAAGACATGGTTTGAAACAAACCACTTTCTCTAAAAACTCCACTATCACTTGTCCTTCCATTTACTCCTACGTTACAATAAATAAATTTGTAATTTGTATCTGCCATAGCTAAAAGAACAATAGAGTGATTACCCTTATAATTGTAATAGTAAGATCCTGCTGAAATGGGTGCTCTAAATTTTATGTCGTCCATCTAAAGCTTCAACGCAATTAGGAAAGTGCCATAATGCATCAAATTCTTCGGCTATATTCAACTAATCTTTTCAATCTGGTGTCTAAAAATACAGAAATCGGCGTAATATTACATCCATTTATATAGGTATACTTATAAAGTTTGTAATTATAAATTTGGTATATGTATGTTGACGTCCAATTTTTTTTTGGCTGGAGCACTTTAAGTCGCAACCAGAATCACCCCTATGTATCATTTCCTCTGCCAATTTTTCTTTCTACACATATTTTCACGATTCCGCCTTCTTTTTTTAGTATTAATATTAACGAAATTACACCAACTGCACCGGCTACTAATATCAATTTTTCTTTTTCCATAGTTATAGTATAGTTTATTTTTTTTTGTATTCAAGAATCAACAGCAAGAAATTAATAATAACGTCAATAAATCCCGCTCTTTTCTGCGCATGCACTTGTACTAAATTTATTACCTGTAATCATTGTATTGTGACATACATACATATTTCTTGCGTACAATATTTTATAAAATATAACCCAAACTATTTTTCAGTTCTTAAATTTAAGTCCCATGTCAAACGGTCCTTAATTTATAATTATTAAAATCGGTTCAGCAATTTTAATAAAGGAAATGTAAACGAGTGATGTAATTTCTATACAAGGTGGTGCAAATAATTGTATTCGGGAAACTTTGGCAGCATATTCTGGCAGATAAAAATACTTAAAAAGGTTTATAGAAATTTAGGTCCTAAAATGCTTAGTTTTATAGATACAGGTTGTAGAAGTTTCATTTTTATTTCGATTTTTTCGAAATAATTTTTCCAAAAAAACTAATGTAGATATTTGGTTGGAAATTGGTGTTTGACATGAGAAATTTGATTTTGATGTCAATATGACTCTCACTTATAGGGGGCGCCACCTACATATTTTTTAAGAGGTTAGAAGATCAATGACTTTTCGTTCGTACCTGTATAAACCTACTAGGTGAAAAAATATACATTTCCGTCGTTTTTCAAATCGCTACGGGCAACCGTGCTCAAGATATTTCTAATCTAAATAATCAACACATGTCATCATTTTTGTGTCAAAGATTTTACAAAACTGTTTTATCATAATATTTACAGAAAAAATTACAATTAATTTAAAAAAAATTATCCATTATTATCATGAACGTTTTGTTTAAGATTTAGCAAATTTTCTTGGAAGAAATGAAGGAAAGAATTGTTTGGAAAGCAACAAGCTATATAAAAGTAATCAATAAAACGATTCTTGCTTCTTTACTAAGCGTAATATATACCAAGCCTCCTTGATTTGAATTTTTGTTCCAAAAAGCCCACTCTATCGTTTCGAATAAATAAATTATTCGCACGGTCCCATGTCACGCAATGAGTTATACTAATTTAACCTTTAAAGTAATTAGAGAATTTTGATTTAAACATATTCTTTTTCAAAACATTTTAGGTACATTTTTGCTATCATTGATAGATTTGGCTGAATTATTTCCTTGCAGTTGGTTAATGCATTCACACATAATTTTAAACTGTAGCAAAATCTTCCGAGTAAGAAAAAAAAGTAAAATTATGCCGGTCATTGTGTATTTCTAGAATTAAAAATATACTAATTGTATTTTTCCCTTTTTAGCTTGTTTCTCTTCCTTATAACTTACTCACTTAACTTTACTTCCAATTTAAGTAAATTCTCTTAGGAAAACTTGGTCTTTCTCCCAAAAGGGCCCCCCAACGCCTTTCAATAACAATAAATCACACTAAACAAAAGCAAACTAGGAATTATTGACACGAACTCCCATCACGCGATAGACCGGCTTAAACTAAATTAACGCCCTAAGTGGATTAAGGGCACTGAGTATGCCCAAAGGCAACGGACAGAGCGAGCGGTTTGGGCAACCATTCTATAGGGACTTATTAAAAAAGGCTTTGTCCTAATCAGTTTCCATGCAAAGTTCCACAATGACTAATTATATAATTTATCTCACTTTAAATATGAATTCAGTTGAAATGGAATTAGTCGATTACATATTATAATATACAAACATAACTTTCGTGGTAACATATATAAGGTGGCGCACCTCATTCGCCTCGGTTGATTATACGAAAACGGAAAGATGTAGAAACACTTTTTTTATGGATATATGTAGTGAGGCAATGTGCATAATTTAAAATTATTTTCAAATGTACAGGGTGTGTCAGAACTAAGATCCATAGCAAAGTTATATTTTTTCTTATGGAACACACACACCCGGTATTTTATTTTATTTTTGGATTCTTGGGCATAAAATAAGGCATTTATTATAAAGGTTCAATATGTCTAAAAGCTGCATTTTATACTCTTTGTTGTAAATGTTGAGGTATATTGATTTCACTTTTACAAATGACGTCAAGTAATGCCTCCGCCCCTTGGCGACAGGTTTAGGAACCTCGCTGGCCATTATGCTGCTCCACCATTCCCAATCCATCTTCTGAGGAAATTATTTTATTGTTTATATTATTTATTTTATATTATTTTTTATTATTTTATTGTATTTGATTTTCCATATTCAATGTTTTATCTCATGTCATTGTCCAATTTTAAACTCCTCAATATTGTAACAATGAATAGATTAAATATTAAAAAAAAAACAGAACCGGACTTGAAATTAGTTTAAATAAATTGTGTTCAAATTTCCGAAACAAAAAAATATAAGAGTGGCATATCATTGTACTCAGGAGGCCGAGTTCTTTCAAAATCTGAAACAAAAAATGCAGTGCCGTATTTAGAGAAATCAAGTTGGCCTCTGTATCTCACAAATTATCAGATAATTTATAAATCTGAAAATACTATCAGATAGTCCTAATAAAGTGGCTATGAGAATGTGCAATTAGTTTTTTGAACTTTTAAAAAGTAACGACAGGAAAAAATAAAATTGATTTTCAAAAAAATTCGTTTTTTTTTAAACTCAGCAATCCTTGATATTTTTAAAACTTTTTTGATGGCATCTTGGTGAACATCCCAAGGCGCAACTTTGCCCCAATTTAACCATCTTCGTATCTATTACGGTATCCGAGATACCAATGCTCGTACCTCGAATTTGTAGCACCCTGTATAGATGAAAGAAACCAAATTGTTTGTGAAAATGTTTGCAAAGAAAAAGTATAAGAACCATCGTAATAATTAAACAACAAAGAAAATTACAAATGGATCTCAATAATCACACTCATGTGTGGGCTAGCTCTCAAGCTATTAGCTAATTAAATTATTTTGCAGATTCATCTGGCCACCCATCTGGCGGCCGCTCTTATAGATCCGGCGGAAGAGGCTCTACGCCACAGGGAGATATTGCCCCTGCCGCAGCTCGACAGAGACAAACACGCTCATGTAATCGAGGGAGGCACTTGCCTGCTCTGTCATATAACGGTGACAAGTTCCAGAACTAAGCACTGCAGGTATTAATTAGTTAATTGTATAATTAATATGGTATAATATGCTAATACGTTGAACTAATTTATGTGGTTATCGTGCTCACGTACACCGACATATTGTTAGAGACACTAGCATACGTAAATTGAATTAATGGTAATTTTGTCTCTGATGTCTACAGAATAATTAAAAGACATGATATAAGTGATAGGAATGTACGATATCATAAAATATTCCTGAATATTAATAATTAGTAGTCATAATAAGTACTTGCAAGAAAATTATAATAAATCGAAAGATTATTAAGAATTTAACACCCTGTAGCTACGAAACAAAGCAGAATCGGACCTATGTTGATATGAAAAATAAGTCTTATTATTACGTGAGGAATCTCCCCCCCAAGAGATGGCACATGTTTTTTAAAACACCCTGTATAAGGCGAATTAATGGTAGACCTTTATGGAGCTTCTCCATAAAAGCCTAACTGGTTGCCGGTAACAGGATTTTTTTGAAAATTCGGATTATAGCATAAAGGCATCTGTTAAGGCAAAAAATATAAAAATAAAGGCAACATAGGCAAACATAAAGGCAATTTATCTTTGGTATTTTAAATGGAACACTTGGTATTAGAGATGAGCAAAACTGCGATTCTCCAATTGTAATTGAAACTGCGACCCGCGATTGCGATTTTAATATTTAAATATTGTACTAGGTATATAATTGTCTGGGTATGTATCTTAACAGTTCAAAAAAGTTAATAATAATCGGTAGTTTAGTATTTAAGTTTTTTTTAATTTGCAACACATTATAGGGATTAAAACTTTATATATGCTGCAACCTGCAACTGCTGCAACTACACATACCTACTCTTTCTACGGTTCTCAATTATCTAATTCTTTATCCAATTCTAAAAAAATCTAAAACAATTATTTTTTAAGATGGCTCACCCCTCACCCCTTCGTAAAAAATGCTTTTTCTAAATATGCCAAGGAGCTAACCTCGTTCCATTTGAAAACATTGAGATATCATTAAAAATACGATTTGGACATCTTTTAACTGGCCAGGAGAAGACACGAAAAACAATAGCTGATTAAATCTATTTTTCAAAGGCATCTTGATTAAAAATTTGTGTTTTTAAAATAGCCATGATATTCTAGATTGAAATTTAAAATACCATTTTTTAAGCGAAAATGTCAAAAGTTGCCATATGACACACCATTCTATTCAGAGTGTCATTTTCTATCGAATAAATATTGTATATACCGGGTGCGTCTCAAAAGTGGCTCACCCCTATAACTTTTTATTTTTTCAGATAAAAAACGAGATTTGGTATGTTAGAATATGACACAAATTAGGATTGATTGACGTAATCATTTGTTTTTCGTCACTTCTTGTTCTGGCCAGTTAGAAAATGCTCAAATCGTATTTTTGTATCATATCTCAATTTTTAGCCGACCATACCAACAGGTATGGTAGGCTATTAAGATCGGCAAAAAAAAGTTTTTTTAATTTCACTCAAAATGAGTTATTTGGTTTGGTCTGTCCGTCTGTCCGTCTGTAACACGCTAACTCAAAAACCGCTAAACCGATTTTAACCAAATTTGGCACAAAAATACTGTGGCACCCGAGAATCTGGCAATTAGTTTGGGGGTTGGTAAGGGGGGGTATGGGAAGGGGGTTAAAAATTTTAAAAAATCGTAACTCCAAAATTACAGTAGCTAGCGAAACGCGGTTTTCAATTTAAGATTAGGATAATATTTGCAACAAAATTTGTAATAACATCAAAATCAGTCAAAGTCGGATACAAAATTGAAAAAATTCCTTTACTTTGAAATTAAAAGAACTGCCTACCAACTTTTTATTAACATATTTTAGTATGGGCGGCTATACGTGCCTCCCGACGCCAGTTTTTTCAAATTAAACGAGGGTGGCTCATTAGCATATTTGGAAACAGCATTTTTTAACGAATAATTTGATACCACACACTTGTTATTTCGAGTTAAATTTTCGTTATAAACCGCAAGTTATAATTTCAAATAAACCATATGCGAAAATGTCGAAAGTTGACATATGATATGTCATTCTATTCAGAATGTCATTTCCTATCAAATAAAGTAAAACAAATACCGAGGGTGCCATTTAAAAATCAAAAGTTTTAGTAGTTTCCGGTGAAACAGGAAGTGACCGAAAACAATTGAATACGTCAATCAATCCTAATTTATGTCATAGACTAACATACCAAATCTCGTTTTTTAACTGAGAAAATAAAAAAGTTATAGCGGTGAGCCATTTTTGAGATGCACCCGGTATATATAAATTATTTTCTATAATAAATCAATGAAATAATTACTACTTAAATATAATAACCTAATCTATTTAATAATTATACAGCAAAAACTGTAAAATTTTAGAATTACTGTGACATACTGTACTACTCTCCATAAACACAATTACCATTAATCTTTTTAATTGATATTCATGGTTGTATTATTTTCTACTGTTGAACAGGTAGGTAATACTTTATCCACCTGTAACTATATAGTAAGCTCGCGTGTTTTAAGACAAATAAAACTTTGAAACCCTGAACTTTAAAAAGAGTTTAGTCATACAGATGCAGTGGTAATAAGCGGTGTTTAATATTATATATATTTATTTAAATCATATTTGAAAAATATATAATAACTTCTTATATTTTTTACAAAGATATTATATTTTGTACAATGATATACAGGGTGGTCCGAATTGTATTCGGGAAACTTCGGCACCATATTCTGCAGATAAAAATAAGTTAAAAAGTTCGTATACATTTATGTCCTAAAATGGTTAGTTTCCGAGCTAAAGGGTGTAACATTTCATTTTGTTTTGATTTTTCCTACCAACCTCTATATTTGGATGAAAATTGGTTTCTCATGTCAAAAAACATGTAAAAAAATGGAGTTTTTTGACATGTGAAATTTTAATTCGAAGTCAATATGTATCCTACTTGCAGAGGGCGCGACCTACATATATTTTAAATAGTTTGAAGAGTAATCAATTTTCGTCCGTAGCTGTAGAAAACTAATGAGTAAATAAATATATATTTTTGCCGTTTTTTACATAAAAAAGAGATTTTAGTAAAAATCGGTACGAGTAATGGTTCTTGAGATATTTGGGCTCGAAATAAAATCAATACATGTCATCAATGACATAAATTAAACATGTTAACGTGTAAACTACAGTTCATACCAAATAAACGTGATTTAGTCACGTGATTAAACTTGACCGGCACAGCGTTGCCCACTTTTATATATTTTCTTTTAATCAAAATATTTTAGGAAACAAAAATAAATTAATTATAAATATATAAATAGTTAGTATTTACATCAACAAAATTCACCTTCTTAACGCCACTTAAGGGACATAAAGGACCATTACTACCGGTTTCCCGTTCAAAATATTCTAATAAAGTTGCGATGAGCTTTTTACGGCACTTGTTTTTTACTAATCTTGTATAGTTCGCACTAAAAGAGGTTCTAAAAATAACTATGTTCGACTGCAAGGTCTGAAAATAAACATTTTTAAGCTTAAAATATCACAACACTGTTTATTTAAACCAAAAACTCGTAATACAAAGCTAAAGTGTCAAAACGAATGACAATGTCAGGAAATAAATAAATAAATGCGGCAACTTGACATTTATTACAGCAGAGCTACCACCTGATTCCTCAGCGCGAAATTTAAATTCCAGTTAGTCAGCACGGTGCCGGCGCCAAATATGTCGATGGTTGGCAACAATGAATTTAAAAATTGCTCCCTCGATGACGTAACTAAAAGTTCAATTCATATGGAATATAGATAATTATTAGACTTAAATAATACATTTGAAATGTTTTTGTGCCAAAAATTCAACAGAACCTATTTTATCATAATTATTTCAAAGAAAATTTATCATTAATTTAAAAAAAATTAAAAGTTCCCAAATTAATCCTTTTCATTCAAATAACTACCTATTCAACAAATTTTTTTTTAAATAACGACATGTATTGACTATTTCCATTCTAAGTATCTTGAAAACAAGTTGCTTGTGGAGATTTTTATGAAGAAAGCTTTTTTACGTATAAAAAGACGGAAATGTATATTTTTTACTCAGTAAAATTACAGGTACGGTTAAGTTGTTCCTCTTCAAATATAGAAAAAATCATGTAGGTGGCGCCTCCTACAAGTAGGAGTCATATTGACATCAAAATCAAATTTCTTATGTCAAAAAAATATCCAGACCAATTTTCATCCAAATATCGATATTAGTTCAGAAAATATTTAGAAAAAATCGAAATAAAAAAACTTAGCTCCGAAACTAAACATTTTAGGACTTAAATGTATACGAACTTTTTTACTTATTTTTATCTGCAGAATAAAGCTTTCCTAGTACAATTCCGATCACCCTGTATATTAACATTAATACAATATAATACCAAAATCCACTATAATAACAGATACAGTATTTATAGCTGGTAATAATATAATATTGAATTTCATTTAATACTTAAATTTTTCGCATTGTTAGTAGACAAAGCCTGTATATTAGTCATTTACCACCATAAAATAAATAAAAGTGCAATGTAATCTATTCACCATCAACTGGAACTAAATTAAAACTTACTTTATTTGTCATTACCGAGTATTTCTTATCAAACACAGTTTAATTACTTTACATGCTAGTGTAGTACAATAAGGGGATATAATTTAATTTGTATAGTTATTGCTTACAGTTAAATTATACCGTGCTGGCAACTATTACTTTTGGGTAGGCATTTATATGTGTGGAAGTAAATCGCATAGAGATCTTATTAAGTCGGAGTGGGGGAAATGTGACGGTGTGCTGTTGCGGCGTTGCCGGTACGCCTTTCCCTATCTAGTAAAGTAAAATCACGATCGCAAACCGCTTATTTTTAAAAGACTTTTTATTCAAGAGATAACTAGATAAAATCATTAGATATGTTTCTAAGCATCTGAAATGGAATTATAAGAATATCGTTAGGGCGTCATT